ATAGTAGCAGACGGGTGACAAAACGTGTTTTTCTGTGTCTAATCAAAAACACCTGGGCAAGTCCGGCTGCTGTCGGGAAATGCCTTGGAATTCACTCTAGGTTGTCAGCACATAGCATCCAGGGATGGAGTGCCGCCAGCCACGTCCCTTGCCCTTGGGGATTCACAAAGTCCAGGCCTGCTGTTGAAGCTGTTATTCACAGGAGTCGTTCCCCGTTGTGTCCATTGCTCCTCTCAGGAACAGAGGGGAAAGCTCTGGATGGCAAAGGATGTCAGGATGTGCTCCAGAAACAGAAGACTGGTGCCAATCCTGTCACCTGATTGCAAAGAAATAATTGTAGCTCAACAAAATGATTTAAAAAAAAAAACCCCAAACGTGACCCACAGAACAGCATCTGCCACCAAAAGTGTTCCAGTGGTACTTGGAACTGCTGGAGAGCTGCAGCTGATGGCCCTACTGTCCCTGTCACAGGATTCCACGTGACGGCAATTACCAAGCCCCTTTTGAAAGACCATTGCATGTCACCTTCTCTGAAGAGGACCTGCTGCTGACCTGTGGCTCACGTTAGCAGCGGAGCCCTCTGGCTCTCCGGCCCACACTTGCCCACCACATACGCTGGAGTGACCCGCTCTCGGCCGCTACTTTCACAGCCGCCTTCGCCGCGCTCCTTTTTAGTCTGCCCCCCTACCGCATCGGTCAGGGTGGCTTCTTGCCATTCCAGGCTGAGCCCAATGCCTCCGACTGCACTGCCACCCCCTACTTACCCATCCTAGGGTACGGTAAAGAAACAAGAACTAGCAAATAGGAACTGCACCCGCAGCCCTGGCCAGCCTGTGAAGGTGTACTAGTTCAGCTGACAGCTCAGGAGGCACAGACCAGCCTCTGCTTCTTTCCTATATCTGCCTACTCCTGTGATCTGTCCTGAAAGTCCAGTGAGAATTACCTTTGAAAGAGGATGGAAGTTGAGGAGAAGTGGGCAGTAAACAGTAAGTGGTTGGAAAAAAGTAGCCACACAAGTAGCCAAGGAAGGAGCCGAGTTATCTGGAAGGCCGGCTCAGCCCAACTAGCTTCTGCTGGCCTGCTGGCCTGGTTTTAGCTGGGACAGAGTCAGCTCTTCTTTTTAGCAGCTAGAAGAGCTCTGTGTTTAGGTTTCACTCAGAGGCTCACTCTGAGAAGAATGTTGATAGCAAGCTGATGTTTGTGGTTGGACGTGAGACTCCAAGGACTTTTCAGTGTGCTGGAGTGCAGAAGCACGGCGGGATAAGGGGGGAGCATAGCCGGGACAAGGGGGACACGATTCCCCTTGTGATTGGGGTTGACCTGGGCTGGCTGCCGGGCCCCCACCCAGCTTCTCTCTCACCCTGCAGCACCAAAAAACATTTGTAGGCACCTTTCTAGCATCAGGTTTAATTCCTTGACCTGCTGGCAGGGCAGTGAGTATTGCTCCTGCCCTGACGAGGCAGTTGGTTGTTATTTCTGCCTCACCCGAACTGGCCAGTTTGGCCCTTGCACCACCTGGGCCATCTGGTTTTCCCCAGTCCTGCTTGGGGCATTGAGTTCCACTTGTGCTCAGCTCAGGGCAGTCTGTTTGGCTGCTGCTCCACTCACCTGCACAGGGAGCTGGGGAGGGGGCAGCCCCCACCTCCCCCCTCTCTTCACTGCAGCTCTGAGCCATGTTTCGGGCTCCTTGTCCTTGCTGCCAACAGAAAGCTGCTAGGAAAAAAAGTGAACTCCGTCCCAGCCAGAGCCGATTTCCACCCCTTCTATGATTCTATGAACTGAAAGGTTCAAGATTTTCCTTGAAGACAGAACAACGTCACCCACCCGGAGGTGGATTTAGAATGATAGAATCATGGAATGGTTTGGGTTGGAAGGGACCTTGAAGATCATCTAGTTACAACCCCCCTGCAGAGACACCTTCCACTACACCAGGTTGCTCAAAGCCTCATCCAACCTGGCCTTGAACACTTCCAGGGGTGGGGCATTCAGTGATTTCACTTCCGTCTCAAAGGCAGGACTGGAACTTACTTCCTTTGCTGGAATTAATAGCTACACCACAGCACACTCTACCTGGCTACAGAATTACTGCTAGAACTTCGATTTGTTGTAACACATGTAAACGTATACTGCATGGACAGTCATGAAAACCATCAGAAAGGTCTTTTATTTCTTAATCAGGAAATAAAGTTCACCATTTGTGCATAGCGCAGTCATCCCAAACTCATGCCAAGAAAAGAGAAACCTGTACAATGATCTGTATCTTCTCTATAGAGATCATCATATAGCCAGAACTTTACATCTCTCCTGGTTTGTGAAACGTCAAAAAAAAGCGTACATGAGACTCTTACATGATGTAGGGTGTAACCAGGACCACAGGGGACTTAACTTTTGACATAGTAGGACTTAGAGCAGCTTGTAGTATGGTTTTCCATAACTAGTTCTGGGTGAACAGAAGGGCATCCCCCACAGCCTTCAGGAGAAAAGTTCTCGCACACATCTGCGCGAGGTTTGCCTGTGTTAGGACTGCAGCACCAGACCCGTCATATAAAAACCATGTGATATTCTGATAAAACATGCACTTACTACTTTGCATTAATGGAACAAAGTATAACAGGGTTTAATTTAAATTGGTTCCTAATCCACACACTGAAATACTGAGCGTTTCACAGTCCATCTCATTAACACATACTAACGGTCAAGTGAACCAGTTTATCTTTTATTTAAGAAAAACATACGAATTGTGATAGATATCATAGGAAAAATTAGTTCAAATATACAGATATTATTGTCCAATCAGCCATTAAAGGAGTAAGAACCAAAAATTAATGATTTGGGTTTTTTTTTTCCCCAAAGTAAAATCAACAAACTGAACTACTTGCAGGAGTTTTTCTTCGTTACAAAAGCTGAGATGCATTCAGGTACGGTGAAATTCAGCTTCACTGGGAAATGTAGCCAGCCTCTGTTAAGTCCCTGTGGATTTTAATCCCTGTCATCTCCCCAGCACTGCTGCATCAAATTCAGTCCTTGTAATATATTCCAAAGTAAAACCAGCCATTCCGAATCTACAGTCATCCTTTAAGTCAATTCACAGAACTGCTGAAAAAGTAGACATTTCTATCTAAAAGTACAAAAAGGGTTTGTATAGAAGGGACTTCTCTTATACAGTTATATTACACAGCTCCAGACAGCCCCGGCCGGCTCTTCGCAGAACTGGCTGCTTCTGACTAGGAAAGAAAAATGACAAGAGTGAGTGAGTTCCACTGCAGCTCTGTATCTTGTTGTCGATAGCTGGCGCTACCTTTTTGAGTTCTGTAGGTCTAGAGTCAGAAATCACGCAGAAGCGGAATATTGTTCTCAGTAACTGAGATTAATTGTGAGCTTGCGTGCTCTCTGTAAGAGTTTAGATCAAGTAGTTGCTTTAGCACAAATTCAGTGGATGGCCTAAAGCATCCAAAAACCCAAACCTGCAGCCCCAAATCATGCAGCCGTTGCTCAGACAAAATTTCCGTGACCTTGGATGGACAAGTGAGACGGCTTTGTATCCCTCCACTTCCCACTACAAAGCAGAAGCTTTTCTTTAACTTATTTTCTCCTGCCACGTTCAGTTTTAGAACATATATTTCCAAAGCAAACATCACCAATTTATGGTGAATACCATGTCTTCTTCTTTCTGAAGCTAGACAGGTTACAGCTTCAGTACACTAAACAAACGCATCCCATTTTATATCAATCAAATCACTGAAGTATCAAACACAACAAAATGAGGAAAGTATTTGGAGTATGACCAAAAACCCCAAAATGGGCAAAAGTACTACAGAGCTGCGACAGCCTAAAATTGCCATTTTCTCTGAATGAAGCACATAGACCCACAACTGTGTGGGTCAGCCTGGTACGTTTGGTGATGTGACGCATCGCTAGCCCTGTTCTCTACCTCCACAAAAATGTCATTTTTAGGAATAAGTGAAGTTAAAAATAGTATAAGAGAAACATTCAGACATTTTTGCATTGTAAATTAGATGCAGCTTTTCATAAAAGTTAACAAAAAAGAAAAAAACCCAAACTTTTAAATGAAGTTGGTCTGTCATCACAGCTTTACCAAGCGTGCTGAACTTAGACAATATTGTGATGATAGCGACGAGCTGTCATAGAATCATAGAATGGTTAGGGCTGGAAGGGACCTTCAAAGGTCATCTAGTCCAACCCCCCTGCAAGGAACAGGGATATCTCCAACTAGATCAGGTTGCTCAGGGCCTCATCCAACCTGGCCTTGAACGTCTCCAGGGATGGAGCATCCACCACCTCTCTGGGCAACCTGTTCCAGTGTTCTACAACTCTCATGGTAAAAAATTTTTTCCTAATATCCAACCTGAATCTACCTCCCTCTATTTTAAAACCATTACCCCTTGTCCTATCACAACAGGCCCTCCTGAGCAGCCTCTCACCATCTTTCTTGTCCTGCCCAATTACAGTTTGGAAATATACAGGCTTTACCCAGAACAACAATGCTTTTCCATACAAACACAGAATCATAGAATGGGTTGGGTTGGAAGGGACCTCAAAGATCATCTAGTTCCAACCCCCCTGCCATGGCAAGGAAAATGTCAGAGCCCTTCATAAACACTAAAAACCATAAACACATAAAAACATGTCAGAGCTCTTCATAAACACTAATTCCCTCAGCTTTCATTTGCTCTGCTCTGAGGTATGTAATTACCATCAGCCTTTTTATTTATAGGCCACATTTTCCTAGGACTGCCTGCCTCTCCAATTCAGACACAGTCTGCTTTACGTTGTATTTGGTCATATAAGGTAGTGAAAACATCCCACATTTTATAGGTGAGAACTGAGACATATAAAATAATTCACAAGGACTTGCACCTTCTGGCATTCAGTCCTGTATCTCAGTCCTCTTCTCCCCACCCCAAAACATAAAAATGTCATTCCTTGATAGGTGTTGACTTCAAGAAACACTAAATTCTTTTACCCAGTACTGACGAGGTCTACCACGTTGGGTCTGGTTCTTGCTTTATTTGACAATTTTCTTTTGTTTCTGTAGTATCTGTTGAAAAAGCAGTAATGAATGAAGAAAAGAGGAAACTTCTCAACCAATTTATTGTACCTGTTGTACTTACTCAGTAAAAAATTATGAAAGTATGAAAAGCATTCATTTATCATTTTAAACTAGTAATGATAAATAAAAACGTATTCAAAACAGTCTGAATCTGCAGAAATTACCACATTCACTTCAAAGTAAAAGGATCTTAGGAAACTCTAAGGTTTTTTTAAGAATAGAAATAAAAATTGCTATTAGAAGTGTATGAAACTTTAAAATGCTTGTTATGCAGCTGAAATACTCTCTGGGCAAGCAAGGAACATAATCCAAAAAGGGAACAACATATAACCAGGGAAAAGACGTCAGATGTATCGCTGCTTTGGTGTGCATCCCACTCTTCAGTCTTCCTCCCTCCTCTGGGTCAACCCCCAGCACGGAGCCTTCCTCCACCCACCCCGGCACATTCCCAACGCGGGGTGAAGCTTTTCCAACACTCACAGGGAAGTCTGGAGCCCATGACTTCAAAACCTCAGGCATGACCACTGCTTCACGTTCCCGAAGAAGCTGTCTTCCAGAGCTAGCTAGCAACGCCTGAACCTACTTGTGCTCAAGCCGTGCTTTCGGGGTTAGTTACCAAATTAACATTCATTGCACAAACTCTGGCTTTCACAGCACTGATTATTTTTTGGATTTTTTTTTCCCCATCTGTAGGACTGCTTCTCGACTCGATACGGGCTTTTGAGGTATTGTGTTTATCTGTCCACAACAAATTCTGACCCTAGCTAATTTTTCTTCTTCGATGCACAGTATCACATTGAAAGGCATCATGATATGCTTAAAAAAGAGATAAAGAAATTTTATCCTGTTGGCTAAAGCATTCATCATCTTTTGATATGATTTTTTTTTCCATTTCCAAGAGACTTCATTACAAAATCTTTGCTTTTCTTGTTCACAGGGACGCTTGGAGGTAAATCAAAGAAATCTCGTGCCTGTATAGCACTGCCTATGTGACTCAGAGTTTGATTTTGTTCTTTTTCTAAACAGAGAATATGATGTTGGAAGGAAATTGGTTTTTCACTGAAGTTGTCTGGAAGGTTTGGGGCTGGGGTAATTCATCACTACAAAGCCAAGCCCTTTCCCTGCATCATCATTTTATACCTTCCAGCCTAGTTCTGAAGTGACTTTGTGTTCCTTAGCAATTGTATGCCTTTTCTCAAGATCATTCCTCTCGTAACTGGGTCTTGATCCAGTTTTGGATGACAAATTTGAAAACACGCTTGTCGTCTTTTTTTTTTTTTCTTCTTTTTTTTTTTCTTTAAATGGTTAGGGGGTTGGAAGGGACCTCAAAGATCATCTAGTTCCAGCCTCCCTGCCACAGGCAGGAACATCCTCCACCACCCCAGGTTGCCCAAAGCCTCATCCAACCTGGCCTTGAACACTTCCAGGGATGGGGCAGCCACAGTTTCTCTGGGCAACCTGTTCCAGTGCCTCACCACCCTCACAGTGAAAAATTTTTTCCTTATATCCAATCTAAATCTCCCCTCTTTCAGTTTAAATCCATTGCCCTTTGTCCTGTCACTACACGCCTTTGTCAAAAGTCCCTCTCCAGCTTTCCTGTAGGCCCCCTTTAGGTACTGGAAGGCTGCAGTAAGATCACCCCGGAGCCTTCTCTTCTCCAGGCTGAACAGCCCCAACTCTCTCAGCCTGTCTCCATAGCAGAGGTGCTCCAGCCCTTCGATCATCTTCGTGGCATCCTCTGGCCCCACTCCAGCAGCTCCATGTCCTTCTTGTGCTGGGGACTCCAGAGCTGAACGCAGCATTCCAGGTGGAGTCTCACGAGAGCAGAGCAGAGGGGCAGAATCCCCTCCCTTGACCTGCTGGCCACGCTGCTTTGGATGCAGCCCAGGACTCGGCTGGCTTTCTGGACTGTCAGCACACAGTGCCAGCTCATGGTGAGCTTCTCATCCACCAGCTCCCAAGTCCTTTTCCTCAGGGCTGCTCTCATTTTTCTTCAAAACCATCACTTTACAGACCCATAGCTAGATTTCCTCCACACAAGGCTGTTCAGGAATAACTGTCTCTCCTCCGTCATCTAACAATTCCAGTGATCCCACATAGCTTCGGCATTATAAAGACACTCGATGTTTCAGTTTTCAGTAACTGTGAGCTTAAAACCTGCAGCTCAGCTCTTCTATGACTCTAACATTTGCTTTCTTTTTGTCTTGAATGTTGCAATGGGATTAATCTATGTTCTGAGAAAGACCTACTCATAACACTCAGTGAACCTCTAACAGTAGCTCTGGTCGAGCATGTTGGCTCGTCTCCGAGCTCAGTGACATGTCAGGGGAACTGAAGCAATGGAGACTACAAAGGGCATTTCCCTGGAAAAGGACACAAAAAAACCGGGAGTGCTGCAACTTGCTGCTTTCTCTTTTGGAGGAATCTAAGCAAGATTAGAGAATGAACTTGAGAGTTTTTAGATGACAAGCGCTGATGCACAGCAGCCTCCATCCCAGCGCTGTTGGCTTCGTTGCTGCTAAGCTGCTATGGACACATCAGAGAGCCCCCTCAACTACCTGGCACAAAGGCAGCACCCCAGACCCCCTCCGCCAGCGGCAGCCAGAGCCGTCCAGGCCCACGCTGACAAGCTGGGGCTACCACAGAGGCAGCATTTACAGGACCAGAGCACACAGCAGACACCAGCAGCCCAGTTCTCAGGTCAATTCAGTATTCTTCATGAGTCCAAGACCACACGCAAAAGCCCAAGGTGGGTAGCAAACTTACAGCCACCCTGGTCTCACGTATATCAACATCTGAAAAAGATACAACTCCAGTATATTCTTGGACAATAGGAAACTTGGATGTTTTTCAGAGCTTAAGTTCTGGAAGAACAACAATACTCCCCCCTCCCCAACACACCCTCACAGCACATTCAGGCCAACGTGGCATTCAAATTTCCTGATGATGGCAATCGTTCACTTGCATAAATTGTGGAAACTACTGCGCTGAATAACTGGATGCACCGCTCAGGATATGAGCAATCACTCAAAGCCTATATATAGCCATGACTCACCAAGAACAACGATTCATAAAACTCCTTTGTAAAATTATTTGAATAATAACTTTTTCTGCAGAGTATTTTTCAGATGATGCATCATGATATTAATACAGATGAAAAAATATCCTGGGAACTAATAAAATACCTTTTTTTGTTCTGATTGACCTGTCTCCTTTTAAAAAAAAAAAAGATGCAACTTTGTTCAAAATTACTTAAAAATATTTGTTGATGGTAACTGAAGACAAACACTTACCTCCTACAGATACTTTTATTTGGCTTGGTTCAGCTGGCTCTTAAATGAAAAAAATACAGTCAAATGAATATGAATATAGTTTCAACAATATGAATCAGATAAGTATCTTAGAAAAATTAGGGAAATTAAGTTTTCCGTGAAGAAAAGCGCCTCATTTCTTCTCTTATGATCAGACTCAAATTATCTGAGATAAATGCATGTAACTCTCTATAGAGCCTGCAGCAAAATATAAAAAATACCCAAACATTTATTATTTTATGCTGCCTAATGCTTTCCCTTCTGAGTACGGCTCACTGCAGCAGACACATCACCAAGTCCTGGCAGAACATCACATGCACTTGCACAGAATATACCAAGTTTAGTCCAGCTTTACTCAAACCAGTTAAATATAAAACTGTATTTAAAAAGAAGTCACCACTTCTGGTTGGTATTGTCTGGTCACTGTCATTATCCGTTTACTGACGTCTGCTTAATTCCAAGCATGTGTGTGTTGGCACCAGATAGATGTTCAGCCAAGTGAAGTTTGCATGTAAGAACCTGGAATGGGAAGTGCCAGTATGTGTTTTTGGAGGAGAGTAGGACAGTGCAGAATAGAGGGCAAAAAGTCTGTTTTAATTCCATAAAGATTTTTGTTATCTGTGATGAATTATAGCTGGACAGGTGCTGGGGAAGCCATTCAACCTTTTTAACACTGCGGGTGAGTTCAGGACAGAGACTACAGCAAGTTCACTGACCATCAGCAGCTGTTTTCCTCCCTCCCACCACCTCCAAATGTAAACAGAGGAGCCAGTAGCTTCCTTTAATGATTTCCACCAGAGGAGAGTCCCTTAGGCTGAAAAGGTTTAGCGAATGTTTTCTCTTTGTTTCCCAGTTTCTTTGAGTAACAGTTTCTTCAGTCAATTGCAAAAGTCTTTCCTGCACTCCACCAACTTGGGATACACATTTTTAAAAGGTCTGCGAACATTTAGAAACTCTGCTGGGTCAAAAGGAGATTGCTCAACTACATTTACTTGAGCTATTCAGAGCATAAAGCTAAGTTCTCCATTCAGAGTAAGACAGGTGATGCGTGTGCGGTCTAGACCCAGGCTAGCAGGGGTTACAGAGCTGTGCAATAGGCAGAAGTTCCATCAAGACCCCATTCTAGGTTCTTACATGCAAACTTCACTTGGCTGAACATGCATCTGGTGGAAACACACACATACTTTGGAATTAAGCAGACATCGATAAATGGATACTGAATTGGCTTCATATACTGCCCCTACTAATCCTTATTTTCAGCTCACTCATCATCTGTGAAAACCAATTCAAAGACCATGCCAACAACACAGCCTGAAGGAAGCAATGGCTCTTTCTATTAGTTTATTCAAATTTAATAGCTAGACAAGTCACCATCACACACCATCTGTCAAAATAAAATGGCTCATCAGGAGCAGCACACACCCAGGACATGACTAATATCATCTGTCAAGAAGATCAAAAGTCCATACTCTACCCCTTCTGCAAGGACATGCATCACACTCTGCATCACCTGGTAGTACTGGTGCTGCTGCTGGTGCTGCTGGTGGTGCTTCTGCTTCAGCTTTTTCCATCAGCTCTAAGATCAGACATAATCACTGTTTAACTTCACAATGAAAACTGTCCCACAAGTAACACAAGGGTAATCTTACTTCTTGAATCTGCAAATCCTGAAACTTGTGGCATGAACAGGTTACTAACACTTGACTGAGCTGCAGTTCAATTTTTTGTTACAGAAAAAACATTCCCTATCTTGCCTGCAAGCACCAAAAATTTCATTGCAAGGTCTCACATGTTCAGAAGAATAAAGCATCATACCTATGTAAGTAGGTTCAGAGCCTTTCAATCATTCACCTCAGTATCTATCAATATCAGATAATTTTGATCATCATTAATGGACATGGATACTGCATTAAAATGACCAATCTGCTCCTCCAGTGATGGAAGAGATTGGATATCTACGTTGTTTTTATTCAGTGTATTAACTAGCCTCAGTTCCGACAGGCTGAAAGTTATGCCGGATGGACAACAGGTTAATAGATTCTTTCACTTCTAATTCCATTCTCTGGAACCGCTATTAAACGTTTATCTGCCTGGAAGGTTCTCTCTTACAAAGGGGTCTCTTTCCCACCTAAGAAGGTGTGCCTAGGACGGGCGAGCAGGTCAGTGTGAGTTACTAGCTATAGTATCTTCCTGAGAAGACTTCATACTCGCAGTTCATAGACCTCAGTACGTTAGCTGGGATATACTGGTGGCTGGATGCAAATGAACGAACACTGGGTTGCTAAGGCTCAGGATGGATAAGGCCAAAATAACAACATCAGGTTGTTTGGCCGCTGAATTTCTGATCTGACTTTGGCTCAGAAAGCACATGACACAAGGGACACTGTAATGACAGTGTTTTGCAGTTCATTTTTTATAAGATCTAAAAAAAACAGGTCACACTTATTTTAGGCCACTGGAAATACTAAGACCTTCTTTTTTCCCCAAAACCAATTTCATTAACGTGGCCAAACTGGCCATGGCACTTCAGGTAACTACACTCTGCTTCTCTAAACTGTTAACGGTTTCAGCAGAATGCAGAACTGGACACGGCTGTGCAACTACTGGAAAGTTCTTGCTTATTAACTGCTACTGCCATGGATCCGAACCGAATTCCGTTTGGGAGTGTAGACACTCCCATGTAAGCCTGCTGCTCAGTCAGAGTCCTGAATCTCTTTGGAACTCTGCAGCTGAAAAATACAAAATCAGTATCTTGTATTTTCATATCAAAGTTAATGCTAATCTTATATTGTTCTGTAAATTTATCACACTGCTCTCAATTTCAATGCACATGCATGTTTAGTCAGGATATTTTAATGAGAGAGACACGGACAAGAATAGGACTTAACCACTGTGGAGCCTCTGCCACTAAGCCAAAACGTAGAAAACGAATCTTGGTAAGTCACAAAAACACATTTGTCATCAGTGTTTCATAAGTACTTACGATTGTTAATCACAAGTCCTGGAAATGGGCTGTAAAAAAAAATAAATTAAAAAGAAAATTAAAAATTACTGATTCTAAAATACGCTGCATGAAGTCTCCCCTCCCAAGGCATCCTCACCTAATGGTTCGTAACGGGTCATGCTAAAAAATGACCAGAAAGTCAAACAAAACAGAAGGAACCGTCACAGCAGCTCTGGGGCACGGTGGTTTGTTCACCAGCATTTTAAAGAGTGACATACACAGAAAGGTCCAAACCCTTCCCACAGTCACAACGAATTAACAAGTGAGTCGCTTCTTCCGAGCTCAATTAAATAAAACGTATCAAGTGAAGAGTCCCTTTGGATAGAACTCTTCATGATTAAGGGTCAAGAATTCAGCTCCCTTATTAAAATATATTAAAGCAATTTATCTCTAGCTGAAGACAAATTAAAGCTTTTAGACTGCCGTGAAGCAGTCTATGATTTAAGAAGTTACATAAACTTGTAAATTTTTATTTTGAATTCCTGAATTTCTTCTGAGTATGATTCCAAAATTTCATCTATTCTGCTTCATGCATATAAATATACTTTGTGTATCCATGTGTGTAGATACGTCTATGCAAATATACAAATAAAATTCACTTATATTGTAACTGGACAATATTGTACTTTTAAATATTGTAGATAAACTAATTTTGTAAGAAAAAAACCCACAACATTTATCAAAGAGCTTACGTTAACTCAGGAATTTTAACACAACTGAAATACTTAAAAAATATTAATACTACCACAAATGTATTATTTACTGCCAAGAGCCAACAGGCTGGATCTGACATAGGGGCGAGGGAGGCCCACGACACCTCAGGACTCCGTCATAGAACACGAATAGATTTCAACTCAAAAGACAGGTTGCTGTAATATGTGATTTAATAATATGCCCCTTGTCATACTAAATTGGACACATCCTCCAAAGAGTTACCATCTTCATCCATGCTATGAACGTCGGGGCCTTCCTTTGCCTTGACGTATTGTTTCCAAGCAAGCCAGCACCTTGCACTATTTGCAGATGCACTGCAGCTTCTGTTCTTTGGAATCTCAATTTATTCAAGCTACGGGGCTGCCCTCACAGCACCTGTACAATCTAATCGATGGCAACCACATACCGAACGACAGTAAATTTGATAAACTCTGCTGATTCCAAAATCTTCCTCATCGAGCCGATTTCCAGATAACTCGGAGCTTTAAATGCCACGCCAGGAGGCATCCCATCCACCACCACGCAGCCAGGGTTGATAGTGATTTTTCTGTATGGGACTTTCACAGGAAAATTCATACCAATGGCTTCACCTAAGTGAGAGGGGTCATGTTTATTTTCAAGTCTACAGATTTATGATTACATTGACGAAAAAGTCCTCAGATGGTTAAGAAACCAAAGGCAAACCCAAGCTTCCTATCAGATCCGAAACCATGAAAATTCTCTTGATAATTAAACCATTAGTGTTGATGTTTTGGATTGCACTCACGAATGTTACTATAAGAGTGTTAGTTACAACGCTGATTCTGACAGA